CTGATGGCCACCCACGAGCCCCTAAAAGCCCCAATGGCATCGTACCTCCACGCCATCAACTCTCAATTCGAACGCGCCCAGAGCAAACTCTCCCCTCACTCCCAGCGATACCGTACGCCCTTCCCCGTCCCCTCCTCCCATAACCCTAACTAACCCCACCAAGGAATCCTCCACCTCCACCACTCCAACACAATGCTGACCCTAAATGAATCCTCCCTCGTCAAACTCCCCACCCCCTTCCCCCACGCCCTCAACTTCCAACAACTTGAAAGCCTACACAATTGCCTCGGAGCTGTAAACTCCTGGATGGGAGTCTTCCTCGCCATTCCGCCCGCCGAATACGCCAGCTTCCCCTTCCCCGTATTCTCGCAACTGGCCCGCAATCTAGCCGCCTTGTACAAGCTTTCCACGCTTGAGGACCCAGCCTGGGATCGGGGCCTCGTTCGCCGAACCATAGATATTATGACGGTGATGGACCGGTTGATTAGCAATTTGGGGCAAGCGGCTGCATTGGCCAGGTTAGAGAGTGGGGAAGAGGTCGATGATGTGTTTTTTTACTCGATTGGGAAGTATGAGTCGGTGAGGATGAGTTGGGGATTGAGATTCAATGGTGGTGCTGCTACTGCTGTTGCTAAGGACGGTGGGATAGGGGTGGGGTTGGAGATGGAGCAGGGGCTACAGCAGCCGCAGCAGGAAATGCCAGGACAGGATCTAGGCACGGCCATGGGGTTTGATGATTGTTTGTCGGAGTTTTTGAACTCGATGATGCAGTAATTAGATTGTCCTTGGGGTTAGTTTTATTAATGCCCCACCACTCTACTCGCCTGCTACCTCATCTAAGACCAACCGGTTGTTAAGGAACAAGAGTGATGAATAATGATCAACATGAAAAGATACTGAGGATTGAGGATAGGATCGCAATGACACAGGTCTGGGATTGCAAGACCACCAGGCACGCGAATTTGGAAAGAATTGGTTGCAGGAACGAGACAACCCACAGCAGAACCGTACACATATGAACTAATAAGATTATACTTACGACACACAGACTAGTAGCTGATTGCCAATCAATCCAATCAAAGTAAACCCCACCTACGATACTCATTATCGTTCCATTCATAGGCTTTTGAGCCCCGTGCTTCCCAGTCAATGATATAACTATATTAGCAGTCAAGTATAAGCTTGGTATACAGCTAAATAGAGAATAATAATGATACTGACCATTTCATTTTCTGCTTATTCCAGATAAGATTTGAGAGATTCTCATCCAGATGGACAAAACCAAACTTTTAACATTCTCTAAAAGTTAGATTTAATATAAGCCATACATATCAAACAAGGGGGGATCCAATAGTGACTCACAGGTATGATGATTTGAATGCATTTCGTAGATCCCGCTGCTCCTCCAGTCGTAATCTGTCAAGGTATTCTTCCGAGACAGCTACTCCTTCAAGTTTCTCCATTACAACGTAATCCAGAAAGCCGCCCGGGACCCAGCTGTTCGGATCTTGGTTTGCATGCTTCGATGTAATATACTTTGGGGTATATGAACATCCAGCAAGAGTCAGGGCTTCAAGTGCTTTGATTTCTAGCATGGTTCGACCACAGATCTCGGTTTCTGGTGACTGGATAAAGGTTTGGGAGAAAGAAGAATCATCTGTGCTATTTGGAATCTTATATCATATTAACTAGCTTTACTTAAAACAAGAAAGTACCATACTGCATTCGGATTTTCATAATGGCCCGGGTTCAGCTCCTGATATCTTCACAAATAAAAATCCCGGTTGATTCCGAGTAATAACCTGAAGATGTATATTCGTCTTGTGAAAAGAGTGACTCGTGTTCATGTAATTTGTGGATTGTCCTCCACGAGCATGGCGGATTGGCAAACCGTATGGTTTGCGTCAACCATTTACTGTCAAACCAACCTCTATCACTGTGTGTGACCATGATGAGCAAGCATATGGCAGTCTATGAAATATAAAACAAGTATGAAACGGGATAGGTGGATGAAGGGATTTCCAGGTCTTTGATATGATCAGCCTGCAGTTAAGTAGGATGGACCGGAATTGGAGATATTTCCGCATTCCGAGCTCTATGGACTTGACGGACTTTCACACACCATCTTTGTGTTCTTTATTCCCATTTAGTGACATTGAACCATGGCCCTTCGTCTCCAATCAGGAAAGCAGATTATTCAACAACCACTTCCGGACTTACGTTACGATGATAAAAAATACCGCACCAAATCCAAATCAACTCAGAAGCTTTGGTTCTTAGGAACCCTATCCCAGTGGGATATTGAGCAGAAAGCACGGCACTATTCTAAATCCATTGATTGGGATGATTATGTCTAAGGTTATGACTTTGATAAAGAGTGTCTTGAGTATAAAGATAAACACTCTGTAATTGCCTTCTTTAATCAGAATATTCATTATATTTTAATATCTTTACTCTACAAATATATTCAAGAGGATAGTCGGTTTGGAGACTTTAAATATACTAAATATAATATAAGATTCAAAAAAATTCCTAATATTTTTCTTATTATAAAAGAACACAATCTATGTCTTGTTAGTGAAGCTAAAACACCCTAGGTACATGATATTGCGAGAATACAAGAAAAAATCACTTCATTCCACAACTTCATCGATAAGTTTTAATAAACACTATATAATAAGATCATATAAATTCTCAAAGCAGGTCAAATCGCAAACTATATGCACAGAACTAAGTATAAATACGGATGGCTCACTACATATAACCAGACAATATTTTTCTAACAAGTACTACATCTTAAGAAGAAAGATACATGGGTACTCTGTTATTTTCCTATTATTAACTATGATGCAAAGTATGAAGAGGTCACTGAGGAGCAATCGAATGATCCGAATCAGTATCGGAGGAAAGTGACATTGGCAGAATGTTTCTTATATCTTGCTAAGAAGGCTTGCGAGGACACACAGGCCATCAATTCCATGAAGGCTTTGGATTGGGTCGGTACAGATCCCTCCAAGGTTAATCAACATGACGACGGCTACATTTCAGTTGATGAGGAGGACGATGAACGCAGTTCACAAAACACTACACGCAGCTCAAAACAGGGACTGGATGCAAATCCGAGTATCGACAGTTTGCAGGCTGACACTGAGCGACTAGATATTAAAGGCCACTCTCATCCATACTCAACACTTGAATGGAAAGGCCCCGTCGCTATCTACTTTGAGGGCACGAAACGTATGTGGTACTATACTGCTAAAGGAAAACAGGTTTATATTAAGCTCCATCAAGACCGAGATGAAGGCGACTTTTTTGTTTCTGGGGAGTATCGCTATCGTGTGAACAAACATCAGTGATATAGTGGAGTTGGTATTTTTTAAGTACGCTATGCTCTCCAGTGAAAAGATCATCACGCTAAGCATTCATTAGCCTGAAACTTTTCTTTAAGCCTGGCGAAATGAGATTTGCTGTTTTCGATTATTTCTGTTACACTTTGTGTCTCCTTTTCCGTCATTTTCTGACTAGCTTCTGGTGGGAGACCTGGACATTTGGCTTCGAACTTAGTTGGATAAATCAATGTCAATGCATTTTACTGTTCTCTTTATTTACAACAGCTGAGGCTAATATATGTGGACAACGGCGGCGCATGTGACTAGCAGATTTTTTGGCTCCACTGAGGACTATAAATTCGCGAGCAGACGTTGTCTCTTCAAAATAAACTGGCAGGCAGAGAGGGAAGCGAGGCTAGACAGGGTATAAAGAACAACGAAAGGAAAACATGTCATCAAGCGATGTAGAGCGAGCGGTAGGAAACAGGTGTCTTAGCGATGGCCAATTATTTTTCTCTTTAAGTATATCTTCACTAGAGCTTCGTTCCAACCCAATAGTGCTGGAGAATAAAGAGAAAGAGAAAAAGAGAAAAGTAATATAAGTGTTGACAATGCCGTACTGGAGAAATCCTAAGATAAGTGTGTTGCTGCCTGCCTGCCAGATGGCCAAAGTATCATGAATGCTTGCACTGTTTGCAGCGAACCCTCTAGGAGAGTTGCAATGTAAAATAGGACTCATACTTTCGCTGTAACTGTGACCAAATCCTCGTTCAGGGCACCAAGGACGCGACCCCAGAAGCCGGATACTCACTCGCTGAGGCTGAAACAGGGCCCGAGACGGGACAGCCCACTGCCACAGCCCGTGGCGACGTTGCAATGATTCATCAACGACAAACGAAGTAGATCGAAGACGAGGCCAGGATTCTGGGGGAGTAGGATCGCTGGGCCTGTCAGAAAACTCGCCTCATAGGCACACTGGATCTGTGCTCGCTGGCATGGAGTGCACACGGAATACCCTTCATCGCACTGTCTCGCTTGGTTAGAGACATAGCCTGCCTAGAAGATGGAAACATGAATAGTGACGAATCCTCCCAGTCGCATTTGACCAGGACCAGTCACATGACTCCACTAGAACGAACGGGGAAAATACTGGCGCTGAAACAACCGGAGCACTCCAATTATCTTGTTAGATACTATATCTCTTGATAGCCGGTGGCTGCCTCGCCTGCCAGCAGAACGGAGGTGTGCAACATCCGGGTTCGGGGAATAACCTGTTATGAATGGGCAAGAAACCATTTGAGCAGCACTTTGATTTCCCTGCCTGAAACCAAATTAGCAGTGACGACCGTGTTGGCTAAGCTACCATTTCTCTCTATTGATAGATGATAGTATGAGAATAGACATTGGAATCAATATATATGCTCTTGGTTGACAAGGGTCATCAGTATAAGTTTAGAGGTCTATAAATCTAGGTTTCAAAATACTATGCTCGAGTATTTGCGCAGCATTCTATAGGTACTCTATATATAGATTTGAGAGCGAAACAACCCAGCCTTAATCTGGCGCCCCTGGCTGACACAATAAGTAGTGTTCCACAGCGAAGATAGGAAGCCTCAATATAAAAAGGAAAAGCATTATAAATAATATTACTTTCTCCTAGTTCATAACCCTGCCCGGTTAGCTCAATCGGTAGAGCGTGTGGCTGTAAGTTACCAATTAAAACTAATTATTCCTCCGCAACATTTAACTAATAATCACCCAGTTTATAAAATGCACACCTCAAGGTTGCGAGTTCGAGCCTCGCATCGGGCGAGTTTCTTTTTTTCCCCTCCCCATTAATACTTACTTTTTACTATCTCTCTATTCATTACTCTATTTCCTTCCTTTTTTTTTTTTTTTTTCTTTTTCTTTTATTTTTTTCTTATACCCCCGTTCATTACTTGACTTGTTATCGTCGGGCCCAGGTCATGGGTTCTGTTAAGATGGCTGTGCCTTTGACTGGGAAAGGGAGTATAAACGGCCTCCGCAGATGGGATTTATCTGCCGAGGCTCAGCACCAGACGAGTTAGTATAATCCCCTTATTATATCGGAATCTCAACGTGTGAAGCTCCCCAGTGACATGACTCTGTCAGTAGTGATATTCTCTCCGTACTTTCGAGTCGGATTCCCGTGGAAGGGAATCGAGTCCATTTCCTTTTCTGCTTTTGGTGGCCCGGAGTATGTGTGAATGGTTCAAGTACACTGTATAGAACAATAGAATAGCAGATAATTTAGGAAAGAAAGCGCCAAGGATCTAAGTAACAAGCAGGTAAATAACAGCCGATTTCTCTAAGCACAAGGTCAGGAGACCAAGAATGCCCCAGACCTTGTCCCTGGGGTCTTAGTATGGCACACACGGCTGTAATTGATGGTCTGTTCATATGACCGTGATCTCACGCCATATTGCACCAAACCCGGGTTCAACGAACCCAAGTGAAGGAAGCGCGATATTGCAAGCAAGCAAGTTGCAGCAGAGCTCGAAATCACTGACCAGGCTCCAGATTTCGGGATTAGATACCATATTTTCCATAGTCATTGTCACCATACCAAGTTTTTCGACGCTGGATAGGGTTGATCCACAAAGAACCTGGGCTTTATCTACCACCGACTCTTGAACCGTCCAGGTTCGGGAAACTAGGGTCTTTGCATAAGTTGCGACAAGGCAGCTAACCAGTGTCTTGATCCTTTAACGGTAATGTCTAACATCATTTAAGATCACTCAAGTTTTACTTCCGAACATACATACAAACAGTGCCAAGTCTGGTCTCAAACAGAAAGTAAAAGTGACTTGATTTCCTCAGACATCTATATGTAGTGATTTAATAATGATCCCCACTCAGACCTCCGTACACTGTACCTACTGACTACAGAGAGTACTACAGCGTATTAACCGTCTTTGGCCTAGTATTACCACCCTAGCGTCTCCCACATGAAAGGGGCCTCGGGTCGACTTACTGTGTACCTACTTCTAGTCGTCTAAACTCTACACATTTCAAATTTCACCCAGTCCAGTCCACAGACACTTCTCATCCATCTCCCCTCTCTCCATCTCCGCCACCTACACACACCGTAAGTCCACATCACCCCAAACAAACAAAACCCACCATCCCTAACAACACCAACCCAGAAGCAACCACCATGATCATCACACGCGGAATCTCCCTCACCAACTTCTTCGTCGCATCATCGGCCCTCGCCTTCCAAGTCTTCGTCCTTTATCCATGGCATAAACAACTCGATGATGGGTTTGAGGCGTTGAAGAAGGAACATCTCCGGGTGGTGAAGGCATTGGAACAGTTACAATCACAGCAGGGAAGGGAGAGGGTGAAGTCAGTTTGAGGGGATTGAAATTGGGTCGGCTGGATAAGGGAGACTGGGCAGGGGAGGGATAGATGGATTGGATTTATATTTTTCTTTTCTTTCTTTTTTTTTTTGGTGTTTATTTGGTTTAGAATCTTGGTGATTAAATAGCATGTTTTATGTTTTGGTCTACATCTGGGTTTAGTTAGTATTTGTGATTGTAGAAAAATTGGGCGGAGGGTGGATGGAGGAGGGACAGTCGGACAAATGGCCGTAAGGGTCGGAACGAATACCGATGCTGGCCTCCTGATACAGAAATAAGTGTTACGTGCTCGTTGGCATCAGGGGTTGGAATTGATTCGTTACTCTCATACAGAAATAGTTCGGATGGGGAAATAGGACCCACTGGGTTTTATCTGGTTCGGAGATGGTTCGTATCTTCGGATCCGACTGATCTTTACTTATTACTACGGGGGGTTCGGTTCGGTAACCCCACAAAGAAACTAGACGAGAGAGAGAGAGAGAAAGGAGAAAGAAAGAAAAATAAAAAATAAAAAATAAAGAGGAGTAGCTTACATGGGTAGATTAGGATGATAAAATATTAAACATGAAGAGTTAACAGGGTGAGAGATCATCACTCCTGAAATGAGGTTCTCGTACTGTCGCTGACTGACCGGATAATTCCGAGCAGTACACATCCCAAGATGCCGTCGTTTCCCGGGCCGAGGTAGACCTCTCCGATATAATTAGAAATAATTCTCTAGATACCTACTACGATGTTTTCCAGGCTGGTTTTTGAGGAAGGCCCCTTCCACGTCTTTCAATGTTATGTGATTTAGGCCGGAAAACAATTTTCTATGAAGGTGAAAGACACATGTGGTGGTAGCGATGCAGGGGGGTTGGAATAAAGAACTTAAACTCATTGTTCTCCTCACTATATCGTGGTTACCAGGAAATCGTATCTACAGGAAGACATGGTCTAGTGCCATCTAAACATCAGACTTAGCTTTTATGGTTAAATGAACGGTTCTGCTTGAACAAAGTGAAGAATTGCGCTTCTTATTAGTTTTAAAGCATAAGTAAATGACAGATAAAACACTGGTGCAGTACAACTTGGTAAGAGTCCGTAAGAAAAGGAGAAACTAAAATTCCCATGATATCACCTGCATGATTATAATATAGAGGATCATACAACTTAACAACTCTTTGGGAAGTAGGAAGGTAACCAGAAATGATATCTACCAAGACGATTTGTAAGGCTTTTTATTACTTACTTGAATTGCCTTATGAATCTTGAGATGTAAATGTTGAGTGCCCAACTGTCCAGATATCAGATTTCGGGTGAGACAGCATGTTAAGATATCTGTAGTCACTCTCTTGGCAGCCTCACCGGGAGTAAGAACATAGCGCTTGTTCTGGGGTTTGGGTGGGAAATATTCAATCACTGAGAATTCATATCTCTGAACATACAGAAGCTCTGGCTTGGGTATGCCATTCCGGGTGTTAATCTAAAGAGAAGGACATTTTCTGTTATAGTAGTGAAAGACAGGAATGAGAAGTTGCCTCCAAAGGGAACAAAGGGAACTCAGAAGCGTAGTCGTCAGGACGTTGATACGGTGCTTATAAAGCAATGTATACAGTACACTGTTGTACGCCTTGTACTCAACTGTACGCAGTTATCTAACTAACATCCAACGAGTTTATGCATTGTAACAGAAATTAAAGGATTATACACGCAGAGAGAAACAAGACAAATACACTTCCATTCTCTATCCATTCATACCTCGCTATAGCAATATGTCGAGTAGTAATACATAAAACAAATCCATTCACACTACTTTGTTTTCTCCTCGTGTATCTTAGTATACGAATCCACAATATACCGAAAATCTCAACTACTTCCGCCTCGACTATAGATGAAGAAGCACTAACAGTATTCCCGCCAATACGCACTGTGCGTAGTCGAATACTGCTATGGCAATTGAAAAGGAACCAGAGTACAGGCTGTTAAGGTAATCATCGCAGGCACTGGACTGCTATGTGTTGGTCCGCTATGCTGGATGTCGGTGCAGACCTCTCCCAGATGATTTCATGTTGAGGATGGAAACTAAAGATAATGAAAGGAGGGATAGCTTGATAGAAGAGGTGGGGAGGGGAATGAAGCCAAGAAAGGGAAAAAAAAAGGGAGGAGCTGAAAAGGAAGGATAACATTGTCGGATAGAATTAGCTGTGATATTCTGCTAGAGATCCGATCTTAGGGAACCTGACACCTCTCCAGAATAGAGGATACGTGGGGATGTGGTTAGGGTTAGGTGCCATCAGGACAGGACACAACGGGTGTTCTCCATGCTGCCGGCTTTACCTCTACTGTACCTCTCATACACTAGAGTGTCATGAACCGATATGAATTCACCAGGTTGATCTGGTATACATTGTTGAAAAGTATAATGAGCACTATGTATTCCCACTCTGTT